ACCGAAATAATAAGCAGACAAAAACTGCTTGATCCCGAAAGTTGAAGGGATTCAAATACGAGTAATCAAGAAAACATTGATGGAAGACATTCACTGCTTCTCTGGGTACCCAAGGGTTCTGTCTAAGTGCATCTATACATGGCACAAACATATCTTGCATACTTCTGATGAAATGCATCTATACATGGCACAAACATATGTTGTGGTAATATACAGTTTTTATTTTCTTTCCTTTTGATATTCCTACCCGACTTTTGTCTCAGATTGAGGTTAATGAACGGGAGCTGGTTGCTCTTAAGGCTGTAATAAAGTGCATTGAAGAACATAAACTTGATGAGCAGTATCCTCTGGATCCTCTGCAGAAACGATTAATACAGTTAGAGAAGGCGAAAGCTGACAAGAAGAGAGAAACTGAAGCAACGAAACCTCAACCCAAGAGACCTCGCGCAAATGGTGCTGGATACGGTCCACGCGTCACTAACATCCCCTGTGATAAAACTTCGTATGCTAGAGTTGCTGACAGGTATCCACAGTATGTATACGACCGACCACCGTACATGTACCCTGCACCAACGGATAATCATTGCCCCCCTCTCATGAGCACTGCAACGTATAACATGTCTCCCAGCCTTGGCAACTACTTTGGAAATGGGTATCAGTACCAAGCCACTTATCTCCACTAGTTAGGTGAGATGTGAGAACGGGGTAATTATGATCCTTTTGTTTAATATCTAGTCTTAACCTTTAAGCTGTTGTATTGTTGCACTTCCTCAAATGTAGAGGTAAAATGTCATGCTTAAATTTAACTTTTGTAGCACAACATATTCTGATCCTCTAATGTATGAACTCTGTTCTCGTTTTGTTCACTCTTTGCTTTCATGCCTTTGCACTCTATCCTTCTCGGCTTCCATCTGTTGTTTTGGAACTTTCTCATTTCATGATTTTCTATTATAATTTTGGTAGATTTTTTTGAAAGAGTGTCACTAGTAGTAGTATGTGCTGTCGGGCAACTGTTCGTAAACATATTTTCCGTCTTTGAGTAGAAGAACGGAAAAAATAACTGATTCAGGGTGGATAATTTTAATTCAGTATCTTTATCATTGGATACTTGAAGCTTCTTCGTTGTATTTTACATATCGTTTTGTTTAGCAGACTGGTAAAATATTGATTTTAAATGATGAAAAGCAAGATATTGATTGAAAGTAAATAAATGTTTTAGATGAGATATTATAAATAAATTTCTCTAATTTATTAAAAATGATTTAATTTCTCAAATACCACTAGCATGTTATGCATGCTATAATAAAATTATCAGTCACCTTCATCCACGAAATTGTTGGAAATTGCAAACTCTTTTTTGATGCCATATTCTTCAGATAAAAACATTGAACTTATTTGAGCAGTTTTTCATCACAACAATATTTTTAGAGTTTAAGTGACATTTTCTGATAATTTTTTTAGCTCTTGATTTGAAAGTTTTAGCTTTCCTCGTAAAAAATGGGCCCTAATTTATTTAGAACTACCATTAGGGAAAGTAATTGAACGCATTACTCTCTCCACCATCCTGGAAAATATATAATTCGTGGTGGTCAAAATGTATTTATCTTCACCAACATCCATCAATTGTATCAATGCACTCCCACACCCAAGCATTCCCACAGAAATCAGATTTCTCTTGCTTCTTCCCTCTAACTGTGCTATTGTGGTGGTCGAAGGCAGTTCAGTGGTGGTGCCAAGCAAAAGGTTCCCAGGTATGAATACAGAGTTCAGAACAAATGTCAATATTCGTGGATGAATTTTGAGATACGTTTAAGTGTTTTACGGATACCTCGTATCTGTTGTCGCCTTTCGCGTTTCTCTTCTTCATTTAACACAAAACAGAGGCATGTAGCAGCACCCAACACACGCACAACACCAAGCACACAGACAACACATGTTCACACAGAACCTTGACGAAAATGGGAAATTGGGGAAAGAGGAAGAGGAGAATAAGAGAGGAAGAGAGAAAGTAAGAGTGTGGAGGTGGAGGTGGAGGCGTGGTGGTGAATAAGAGAGTAAAAAATTAGGGTTTTAAGAAAAAATTAAAAAAGGTAAAGGGTATAGGGTGGGGGTGTGGTGTGTGACCGAGTGAATAAGAGAGTAAAAAATTAAGGTTTTGAGAAAAAAGTTAAAAAAGGTTAAGGGTAAAAGTAAAAATGGTATTTTTTGGAATTAAAAAAATTGAGGAGGTGTAGGGAGCAGTGTGTTGTAGTAGAGAGAGTAACTCTGAGTTTTATTGGGTAATACAAGTTTAAATGCATATTCAAAGCATTCTTCACTCTCCTTGATTTTTCACTAGGAAATTAAGATGGATGTTTCTCCTCCTTATTCGAAAACTTCTTCTTACACCTCTAATAAATAAAAAAAAATCCTTTAATAAAATTAAATTAAATAATTAAAAAATTAGAAAAATTTAATATTTTCAAAATTTAATGAAATATTTTCAAATTTTAATGAAATATTTAATAAATTTCGAAATTTATTGCAAAATTAATGAATTTCGAATATTGAAGAATTAGATGGATTTCAAAATCCAATAACAATTGTTTTGAAAAGTGTTTGGAGAAATTCAAATTCTATCACTCATTTTATATATAAAGTACTCTTTTGCTTTTTTAGCACTCGAAAAAAAACTCTAGTAACTTAAGCAAAGATCTAAATCTTGACTTAATAGGTAAAAAAAAATACAAAACTCTAAACAAAACTTGAATAAATTTTAAAAGACATAAAGCAATAAAAATAGAAAATTATAGGACTAACAAAAGAATTAAATGAGACAAACATAAACTCTAAAAAAAGACTAAATACAATTTAATAGATTAAAAATCATAAACAATAGTGCAACATAATTATTTGTGTTGAGTTCTACAATTTTTTTTACTCTTGGATTCTTACATTTTTTTCTCAATATATATTTGTTTCCTTTCGATTTGAATCCACTATTCTTTCCTTTTTTTTTGTAGTTCAACACACAAACAAAGAAAATTAAAGAGATTCTTAATCAAACACCAAAACTCATGCAAGGTCAAGGTAAATAACAATTAATCAGAAAAAACAAAAAAAAACAAAAAATTTACATGAACCAAATGTAGAAATGCACAATTTAAACGAAAAACACAAACAAAAATTCAAAACTCACATAATTGGATAAAACATTGGTTTTTGCTTGTTTTTTAATGACAGAAAAATAAGATAAAAGAGAATATTCAAATTAGAACCTTGCTTTAGATAGCATATGATATAATCATATCTAGAGAAGAGTGCGATTGTTTCTGAATTTGAATACTTAAGAGACAGAATAAAAATAAATCAGAAAAGAATGCAGAATAAGACAAGGATTTGAGCGTCATAATCTAGCAAATGAATAAGTCAAAGTGAAGATTCACCATGTTAATCTTTCATAAGAATTAAAGTTCTAACTCAATAACCAAGACAATTCTCTCTCAAAAAATCCAAATGCATATAATATGACTTAAAAGTGTTTACATTAACTTTTGTTACCTCTATATATAGGCACTAAGTTTAAGAAAACTTAGAAATCCTAAACACAAACTTTCACCTAGTGAGGTCCGCTTGTCCAATAAACATAAACTGACTCGCCCAACGAATTTAATATTATGTAAAATTAAAATAAAATTACAATTTATTTAATTTTTTAAATTATTCTTTCAATTTATTGATGATTTTCGTGTTTTTAAATTATCTTCATGAAATATTATAAGATTTAAGAAGATATGTTTTGCTATTTAATCTACTTGATAAATAATTTGAATTATAAATATTATTTTTAAAATTTTTCTCATATATGTTCCGGAGATAATTCTTTACTAAACAAATTAGAAATGATGTAAAGAAAAATATTTTTTTTAAGTTTTCATCTTTATGGGTGAAATTAAGATGTTGGTCAAATAAATAATTTTTTTCTTAACTTTTCGTCATTATTTGCATTATCTCGAACATGGAATCAATGCATAAATGCGATTGAGATGGTTCAGCTAAAGTTTACTTAAACTATGCATTAAATCATCATCATAACCAAATATATAAAAAAAAATCAAATGTCATTTGTTTTAGTTTAATTTAAATTTAATATTCAATTCGAACTGAACCAAAAATAATGTTTCGTGATTAAGTTTAGATGACTTCTTGCAGTTTACCAATATTTCGTATATTGGTAATTATTATTTTTGTATCTTTGAATTCAATTACTCAGGATATTCATTTTGATAAAATCACTCAAAATTTTCATTAAAAACTAAATTCTAAATAGAATAGACAAAACTTTCCATCATTATAAAAAAAATTTATGGTTTTAAAGCATCATTTCTAATAAAAAATGGTATTTCAAAATCTAATTTGAATTGTATTTTTATAACAAATATTGTATTTTTATAATAAAAGTAGACATGATCTGAATCATAGTTTTTTTTTAAAAAAAAATAATAAAGTCATAATTTAAAATATGATTCTAACCAAAGATAACTGCAGGTTTACTATTTCTTTTCTAAATTTAACTTCAATTTTAAAATATAATTTTTATACTATTTAAAAAAAAATTAAGTGATATTTTGAAAGACAGATTGTGTATCTCAAACACAACTTCTCCACATTTGTACTTTTAAAAAAAAAATCTATTTACTTTAGTAATTGTTTTCAAATTATCCTAAAACTAAAACAACCTGTAATTACAAATTTATGTACACTGCATGCCTCTCACTGTTGTGCAGCTACTTCTGATTATATATATATATATATATATATATATATATATATATATATATAAATATGTACATGTATTGACCTAATCATGCAGCATGCTGGTTTTGTTGGATATTATTATATGAACAAAATCATATGCAACATGCCATTTGAGTTGGTAAGCCAAAATTAAAGTATCAAAGCAAGCCTATAAAATTAATTGAAGTACAATTGAAAATAAATTCTACATTCGGTGAAAGAAAAGTCGGTACATATGCAGATATAAATAGCTGTGGATGGCATGCATTTGGCAGACACAAGATCAAATAGTTAAGAAAAAGATTAGAAAATTGAAAGACATGGCAGCAGCAATGTCGTCATCAGATCTGAGTGAATTCGTGATGGTTAAGGGAAATGGTGTAAAGGGTGTCTCTGAGATGGGTCTGAAGAGTATTCCAAGAGAGTACATTCAGCCATTGGAAGAGAGAACGATGAAGGTTGTGCATGGAGAGACCATTCCCATCATTGACATGTCGAATGGGGACGATGGTGAAGTGCAAGATGCGATCTGTGATGCTGCTGAGAAATGGGGTTTCTTCCAAATCATCAACCATGGAGTGCCTCTGCATGTGTTGGAGAATGTGAAGGATGCAACTCATAGGTTCTATGAGATGCCACCTCAAGAGAAGGTTAAGTTCACCAAACAGAATTCGGTTTCCAACCATGTCAGATATGGCTCTAGCTTTAGCCCTGAAGCTGAGAAAGCTCTCGAATGGAAGGATTATCTCAGTTTGTTCTATGTTTCTGAGGATGAAGCTCAGTCAACATGGCCACCTGCTTGCAGGTAATCTTATCTTTCAACCTCTTAGGGTTTCTCCCTTAACACTTTTTAAAACAAAATATAAATAAATTAAAAGTCAAAATTAGCTTAATATAAATTTTTTTCAACTTCAAATTGGTTAAAAAACATAATTAAAAAGTTAATGTTGAAGGTTAATTCATAATACATGAATGTAAATTTTATCGTATATAAATTAGTTTTGCGAAATTGAATAAAATTTAAAATTTTTTAAATTTTATTTTATAAATTAATTTTATGAAATTGAGTTAGATTTATTATTAAAACTCTGTTCTTGTTTTCTCATAAAAGTCGTATTTAAATAATTAAAGGAATAACGTATGTTTAAATTTTCTCTTATTAATTACTTATATATATATATATGGAATAGTTTGTATTGGTTACTTATTTCTATTTCTCTCAAATATCTTTTAAAAACACAACTGCAATGAAACTCCGTAAATTAAAAACAAATAATATATAGCGCTTCTACTTTATTTTCAAAATATATTGATTTTTAATATTTTAAAATATTCTATAAAATATTTAATATATCAAAATAATATATTTCAAACATTATTTTCATAAACACTTCATGCAGTGAAAACCGACATCTACAATTTAGAAAAAAAATATTATCTTAAAAAGATGTTTTAAGAGTGAGAGTTTAATCTACATAAGTGCCTAAATTAGATGTAATGATATGTAATAAATATAATTTTTGTGTATGTTAAGTATTAATTATAAAGAAAAAGTTATGATATATAACTTAGGATGAAAAGATCTTTTGAGCTATAGTTATTATTTTTTTGAAAATATTATGTAAAGGAATTGAACTGGGTAATATCTATACCATTATATGAAGTATAATTCTATTAAATTTGATATTCTTTTTTCGAACTAAAGAGAGCAACATTTTTACTTGTAGGGATGAAGCACTAGAATACATGAAGAGATCAGAAATCTTGATAAAAAAACTTTTAAATGTGTTAGTGAAGAAGTTAAACGTGAATAAAATTGACGAGACCAACGAAGCATTATTTATGGGTTCAAAGAGGATCAATCTCAATTATTATCCTATTTGCCCTGACCATGACCTAACGGTAGCGATAGGGCGACATTCAGATGTCTCAACCCTTACTATTCTCCTTCAAGACGACACCGGCGGCCTCCACGTCCGGTCACCGAACCACCGTGACTGGATTCACGTGCCACCGATCTCCGGTGCTCTAGTGATCAATATAGGCGATGCACTCCAAGTGATGAGCAATGGACGATACAAGAGTATTGAGCATCGTGTGTCAGCCAATGGAAGTAAAACTAGGGTTTCGGTTCCTATTTTTGTGAACCCTAGACCTTCAGATGTGATTGGCCCTTTGACCCAAGTTCTTTCCAGTGGAGAGAAAGCCATGTATAAAAATGTATTGTATTCGGATTATGTGAAGCATTTCTTCAGAAAATCTCATGACGGGAAGATGACAATTGAGTATGCCAAGATATGTTGAGTTTAATTCCTTTATGGGGGTATACTTTGAAGATGCAGCTATTTGAAGTTAGTTAATGCATTATGTAGCTTGAATGTATGTGCTTTCACAATAAAGAGGCTTTTAGGGTTAATTTTACATCAAGGTGGCAAAAAATCTCTAAAGTCAAAGTTTATTTGTATTATAAACCAAGTTCTAAAGTTTGTTTTGCTTGATTAATATTTTAAAATATCATTGCAAGTAATTTTTGTTTATTCTAAGTGTTTTTATAGTTGGACACTTTTCCTTTTTTGATGTCTAGGTATTTCGATCACTCTATATTGAGTGAGTTTTGTTCTCCCACAACTGTTCAGGTGGTACTTGCAGAAGGTACTCCAATATTTAAGTGAATAAGTATACGAAAAAAATACTGAATACAATAATTAATATAAATAATTATCTTAAACTTTTTATTTATAAAAATTGTAACAAACTTCTTATCAGTGATCTATTATACCTTAATACAATTACCTAATTGATTTGCACTAAATTATTTTTAGACTAGTTAATCACGTAAACGTCAATCAATTGGTCATGTTCCAGATTAACGGTCAACACGACCGATCGACTTATAGATCGGTTTGTTACTCTTGAACAGCAACCCATTGTGTTTGTTGAACAATAAAAAGGAGAAAAACTACAGCATTACAAATTTGTCACCAAAGTCATTTGTTCCACCTTCACTACGTGATTAGTTTTAGTAACATTTTCTTTGTTATAGTTATTTATTCAAATTGTTACGGAATGTATAGTATAATGATATTTTTTAAAAAATGTTATTGTATATATATAGTGATTTTTTTTAAATGTTACTATAAATAATATTAACAGCAATATTCCAACATTTTTATGTTACAATAAATAAATAAATTTTCTATATAATATCATTTTAATAAAATGTTACAAAAAATAAAAAAAATCCTATCTAAAAAAATATTATATTTTTACAGTATAAGAAAATATGGATTTAGTTTCCAGAGGAGAGTCTTAAGTTGAGAACCCTAACTTATAATTTTTGTTGATGGAGCTCAATCTGAATGTTAATAGCAGCTCCTTAAATCTGTACTTCGCATCTTCCATTAATTCGAAATTTCAATTCCTTTTCGTGAATTCTTAATCCCTTTTCTCAACCCACAATCCTCTGTAAAACCCCAGTTCCTTTAACCTCAACATTGCTTTTCCCAAACTTAGGAATTAAATTTGGGGGGCTTTGCGGAAGGCAGGTTTTGATTCTTGTCTCCGTTTTGCTGATTAACTTTGCGGAATTCATTCAGGTTTTAATTCTTGTTTCTGTTTTGTTGATTAATGCTGTTTCATTTTACGTGCTGTGTACTTTGCATAAGAGAAAATGTGTTTACATTGTCGTTTTCTGGTGCACTATCATCAAGCAATCTTTCCTTGGATCCCAACGGTCTCTGCACAAAGGATTCTTCGCTGTTTTGTCTCTTTCTCCGGTCCCTCCCTCCTTCAAAATCTTCTTGTTGTTCATCATCTGAATCTGACCTCCTCTGCCCTTGATCCAATTGCATCCCCCCATTGATGATATGTTTATACATTTTGGAATGGGTGTTTTAATAAAAGAAATCCAACATAGTGAGCATAACTGGAAGGATAACTTCACGAATCGAATTCTGAAGCATGAAATTTAATTTTAGTGTTTTATTACTTTTTTCTTGAAAAACACTGACAAATAGACATAGTGAGCATATAGAGTCTACTTCATCGTGTAAGAGATTTGTTACGTGGTCCTGGAGCTGTTTATTCAAAGAAAACCAACTTAACAGTTCAAGAGCATGGCCATGACTTAATTCTCTGACTTAGTAGGTTGCTTCCACATTGGCAGCAATTACCAAATGCTCATCTCTAGTTGTTATGATGATTCTACTTCCTGATCCAAACCAACTGTATTCCCCAACCAAAGACTCCAGTTGCTGCAATCAATTACCATCATCAACCACTATGAGAACCTTTTTACAGTAAAGTCTATTTTTTATCTTATTAATTCCTCTCTATTTGTTTCCCACTTTAAAATCTCTGTGGTTCAAAACCTCTGAAACAAGTGCTTCTTATAGTTGAACTTTTCCAAATCTTTTGACTCGAAACTTCTCTAACATTTTCAATGAAAGCACTGCCCTCTTAGTGATTAATAATGTGGTTATAAACAGACTTAGGAACTGTAGTTTTTCCTATTCCCCCACTTCCATAGATTCTTATAGACCACACATCATCTAATCCAATTTCCAAAAGTGATTTAATATCTCACACTGGGGAATTCAGTGCAACAGGATGTTTAGCTACGCTAAAAGTTGTGGGATTCAGTTTACTGAATATCTCTTAAAAAATTCTTTTGAAAACTTAGATTTCAATCATCTCCTATGTGCCACCCAGACAAAGTAGCTATTTCACATAGAGCTACCCGCTGTCTTTTCACATTGTCCACATCATAACTTGCCTTTATGGTTTGTCAAAGTTTCTTCAAAGTTGTCCTTTTGTTCTCTCACATGAGATGGACTAATTTGATAATAAAACAGGCAAACCAAGATGACCTTTGGAGTCCTCACACTCAAGGATCTTAAAGAGTTCATCTAAGCAAGAAGTGGAAGGAACGTAAGTCTTGGATAATATGAGAACTGAGATCCTTGAGTCTTCAAAAACACCAAAAAAGTTGAGGTGAAATTTTCTCTCTCCTCTTGAGCTCCTTGTAATCTGTGAAAGTGCTGAATCCTTTTTGACTAAACTTGTTCTTCACTTGGAAATTATGATTGCCTGCTTTCATATCTTGATTGTCTAAAATCGAATGTAGGCATTATGAGTGATATTGGAGATATTTTTAAAAATTTGAAATCGGTGATACGTCTACCTTCTGTGTAACAGTTTATTTCTTGCAGTAATATGGATATAAAAACGGATGACTAAAGAAGTAAAAATCATCTTAGCTTTGGCTTTCTTTCGTCCCCCTGCTCCATAAATGAAAAAGAAAAAACAGCGCTGCTAATGTGTATTTGATCATAAGAAATACATTTCTTTTTTGAAGATATGGACTTAAACGGTGCTGTTGAGGACATAATCCCTTGGGATGGGACTCTATCTTCAAGTGAATTTTTCCTTTCTGCTCGTACATTTTCTGAGAAGTGGAAAATGTTCAATCCTTCCTTTCCTCCATGGCAGTGGATCCTGTGTCCTAAACAGCATTTGGTTGCTTCTCATAAGGTTGGATTCTGTCGTAAGATTTCTAAATGCTCTGCATTATTGCTCTATGCTTATGCTTAGCAGCTTTCTTGGTTTTTGTCTGTCAGGTGGAAGGATACTTGTCCATGGAGAACATGTGCCATATCAAATCAAGTGAGGTCTGCCAGCAATTTAGTTTACTAATACATAGGTAATGTTTGATTAAATGTAATTCACTGGATTGTGATTATCATCACAGGAAGAAGATTGTATAAGAAGTCTGACATGGAAAGAAGATAGCAACGATTTGCAGAGAGAAGAGCCCGTTGATTGTGGCACTTTAGTATGTATGACCTATATGATGTCTATAATCTAACTTCATTAATTTCATACCCTAAATTTGGTTACTACTATTCTTGGAATTTTCAACACTCTGCTTTAATCCTACTACTGCTTACAACAGTGTATTTTTCCCTCTCTACTAGGTCCAGAGCATGAAGTAAACCACTATGATTTTCACATCGTCTACAGTTCTTCATATAGAGTTCCAGTCCTGTATTTTCGTTCATACCATAGTGGTATGTTTACGTTTCTTACTATGGAATTTAGTATGATAACCATGTTCTTCATAGAATTCATGTCTTGTATTTTGATTTATATCATAGAAAGTAGACTTTAAACTTAACTCGATATTCTTCTCGTGATAGGTCTAGCAAACTTTGACAGGATAGGTTTTGATATCATTTTAGAAAGTAAATTTTAAGTCTAACTCAATATTACAAAACCAGTATGGAAGATGAAGTTTGCACCTATTTATATACTATATTTTGGTTACATAGGGCTTGCACCCACCCGGTTTGAAAGATGAAGTCTCCAACAGGATGCATAATTATTAATTATGACTTTGAGCTTTTCATTAAAACAATTTTGAAAACCAAAACCACCTTGTTATTGGATTTTTAGAAAACTTGTTACTTTTAAAGTAATCCAGTGGTTCTATTCAATGTCTATGTTGATAGATGTTGATATAAGAAATGCTGGCTACATCATTCATCCTGCAGAGCTTATATCTGTCAGGTTGGATGGCTTAAGGTTATACCGCAGTGCCATGTAGCTGTAGTCAGATTTGAAGCTATCTTGTGGTTGTAAAAGATATCTAATTTGAAATGTGTAGGGAAGTAAACTATAAGGAGGTCTCATAAGCCATCCATTAAAACAATTTTGAATATAGATGATTTTTTAAAATTTGGTCTCTTAACTTTTCCGATCTTATCATCGTTTAGTCATGAAAACAAAAACTGTTTGTGTGTTGAATTGAACTATCTCATTTATTTACATCTGCATTTGTATATTTCAGTATATAATATAATTTCTTTATTGATATCAATAATATTCATTATATATTTGATGGTGTTTAATTATGTAGATGGGCAACTATTGTCTTTCAATGAAATTGAAAAGGATCTTCCTTGTAACTCTGCAAAGTTACTATCAGAATCGAAATGGACATTTATAACTAATGAGGTAAATCATTGGTTTTTCTTCTGTTTTTTTAGTGAATTTTTTCTCGATTTTTCATGATTATGGTGTACTAAGATTTCGCTTCTGTTGAAAATATACAAAAGGTATATTAATATTTGGTCCACTTGGGGCCTTCTGCTTATGATTATTACTTTAATGAAATAAATTTTATAGATACGGAAGGAAAATGCAGAAACTAAGGATGAGACATGCCTATATAGGTTTCGTTGCCATTAAATTTGGTCTGTAAATGCAATTGGCATTAACTTCCGCATCTTTAAACTGTGGATTACTTTTGAAAAACTCAGTGAATAAAGGAGTACTTCCAGATGGGTTGATTTTAGTAAAATTGAATTTACTAGTTTTTAACTACATCTTATATTAAAAGTAACCATAATCTGCATACTGTCATTTGATATGTTCTAACCCCTGTAC